ATCCATCAATCCATCCATCCATCCATCCATCCATCCATCCATCCATCCATCCATTATCTTTAACTGCCTTTTTTTGTGTGTGTGTGTTTTTTTTGTCAGGTTGCAGGGGTCACTGGTGCTCATATCCAGCAGTCACTGTGTGAGAGGTGGGGGACACCACAGACAGGTCTCCAGTCCATCACAAGACCACACAGAGACAAACGAGAAACACTTTTTTTTTATCTCTTTCACTCTCACACACTCACATTCATTCTCTCACTCACACCTTGGGACAATTCAGAGTTACCAATCAGCCTGACATGCATGTTTTTGGTCTGTGGGAGGAAACTGGAGTAGCTGAAGAAAACTCACGCATGCATGGACAGAACATGCAAACTTCACGCAGAAAGGTCCCAGGCCGGGATTTGATCTGGCGACCTTCTCGTTGAGAGGCAACAGCTCTATCCTACCCTAAGAATGCCAAAGATAGCACAGATTAAGTGACATTAAATAAGATTCCCAAAACTACAGTTAGCTGAAACAGTAAGACAGGATTGCATACTTTCAATCTCATTACATTCTTTTGTCAATATTTACAACAAAAATAATATTCTAGTGTTAATTTTTGTAAGAATTCACTGTAATTTATATATATTTTTGGTCACTAAATAAATCCAGTCTGCTTCTTTTCATTATGAAGTGTCAGTTCCAGTTTGTAAAGTTTGTGGCGAGCCTCGTATCTCTTCACAGAATCAGCATAAACCAGTCACAGCAAGTGAAGACAGCACGTGGAAAGTAAATGCCCAGCCTTTCCTGGTGGGATGTCGATTTCTGGCCACTTTTATATGAAAGATAAAGACAAAGAAATCGTGTGCTGAAAAATGACAAAAATGTTTGGTCAAACTGTAAATAAATGTAATATGCAACACTGCAAGATGTCACAATCAGAGTGTTGTCACTGACACCCAGTTGCTCCTGCATCAAACTGTAGCTCATTATATGTTAAATTAACAGAGTTAGAGCCATTTCTGTTGGTTATTGTGAAGTAGCTGTGGCAGCCATATTCAACTGGACTGACTCCAAATGTTAATTAGCTGTAGAAGTTCATCTATCTCACCCAGTGGTTCAAGAGATATTTTGCTAACAGACAAACAGGATTGACACTAACAGTTAAATCTAAAGTTTTAAACAAAGATAGTACACGAGTAGAACTTGTATACATAAATGGTTCTCAGCCACAACTAACCAAATATTAGCTCTATATCTGCAAAACTGACAAAATAATAGTTATCTTTGTTTTTCAGGGTCAGTTGAATGTGGCAGCCGACTAAAATAATATTGGCTACAAAATAATCAGTTGCAGAGTTGTATCCAATTATTATTTTCTGCAAGGTTCACTAAAATCTGTTTAGTCATCAATGAAATATGTTGCTAAAATTTAAATTCATGCACAAACATCAGCAAAAACATTTTCACCCAACTTTGCCTTTTGGTGGCAGGCAATAACAAAAAGACTTCAAACACATTACTTCTAGTGTTGAACATGTGTGTGTTGTTGCGTGAGCTCAAAATAAACTAATGAAAAACATTAACACTTATAATCTGAATCTTCTCAAATGTTAATAATTTAAAAAGCAAACATGAGATGTCAGTGATTAATTTAACAGCTATCCAAGTTTGCTCCCGTTATGTCTTTAACAGATGGAGTTGACCTGGCAAATGTTTTTTTTTTTTTTTACCTTCACACATCACAGGCAGACAGGAAAACACTCAATCAACAAGTGGAAGGAACTGAACACAAAGACGAGGAAAGGAAGACAGATAACTGATTGTGAGAGATGACCGGGTTTGCTGCTTGTGAACATCTGCTTCCTCCAGATTTAATTAAATGAGCACTGGATGATGAACTAATCTGAGAAGTCTCCTATCAACATGGGCAATTTATGGCAACACCCGGCTCAACACATCCTGCTCTGCATTCAGCATTTTGCTCAGAAATAATGAATAGCACTTTTAACTCTGGACCCGAGTTTCATTTGTGTGCTTATAAAGACCAGGAAAGAAAAAAAATATGTAAACAAAATGGCAACGATGTAAAGAAGAAGTCGAAGTGCATCATCATGTTATGTTTTTCTATAATTTACTAAACAGCATCATGCAAAAGGTTACGCACACTCAGACAATATTTTTTCCACTGTAATCAGTCAAGAAAGTAAATGACACAGAAAACGGTTTATATTTTTGAGCAAGAATTTTGTGAGTTTATATATTTTCTGTTGGATTTACTTTTTTTTTTTGGGTATTTGTACAGTATGTCTGAGGACTGAACCCTGTGTGCCACAAAAGCTTTGGAGCTACTACAGGGCTATTCAACTGAAGGCCCGCAGGCCACTTTCAGCCCATGGGTGACTCCAGTCTGGCCCACCAATGAGTTCATAAAAAATTAAACAAATAAATAAATTATATAAGGGGCAGCACGGTGGCACAACTGGTAGAGCTGATGCCTCTCAGCGAGCAGGTCCCTGGTTCAAACCCCGGTCCAGGGGCCATTCTGGGTGGAGTTTGCATGTTCTCTCCGTGCATGCGTGAGTTTTCTCTGGGTACTCCGGTTTCCTCCCACAGACCAAAAACATGCATGTTAGGCTGATTGGTAACTCTAAATTGTCCCTAGGTGTGAGTGAGCGAGTGAATGGTTGTTTGTCTCGTTTGTCTCTATGTGTCCCTGTGATGGACTTGCGACCCGTCCAGGGTGTACCCCGCCCCTCGCAC